TGAAAACATAATAAATACACTTTCAAATTTTGCTTCTGTTGTTTATTAATCTAATTTAAAGTGTAAACAAATCTTTTTAATTTATGAATGATTTAATTTCATAATTAATAATTATGTTCAGGAAATGTTCCTATTTCTTGACAGATGTGATCTCACAGTTTTATGCGTTTTAAATATAGTGTGCTTGTACAAATATTGTTCCTATTTATATCTTCTAATCCTATTATTTATATTGATTACCCAATTATTTCTCATCATCTTTATTTTATAACTATTAAATTTTATATCAAAGTTTTTTTTTACATAAAATCCTTGCCAATATCTTAGCATAATTTAATAAATGTTCACTCTCCACACCAATTAATAACTTATTCTTTTAACAAGTCTACCATTTGTTACAAAATTATAATTTGGATTAAATTAACTAATTTCTTTATTTCATTCACATAAAATCAAATATATCTACTTTTAAAAATCATAGTTAATATGGATTGCTGATAGAAGTGGGAAATTGAAAAGCAGAATAAGATCATTTGGATTAAGAGTTTAAGGATGAAAGTGCTTATACAATTGGATGTCCTTACTGTATTCTTTTAGTACAGAAATATTTGGTTGAGATATGTCATTAATACTGAAGATTCATATGTTGTAGAATGATTTTTCTAATTATAATTTATGATATTAATTCCGATAAATTGGTTATAAACGACAAGCAAAATCAAATTAAAGGTAATAAGAAGTACAGTATAATATAACTCAATATTGATTTCTATAGATATTGCATTAATTTTTTGGTTAACATGTATTTTAATCTAAATAAAAGGATTCCTTGCATTCATAGCATAATTCAAGTTTACAAATGAGACAGGTATCTTAACAAGATTTCAGGCATTAAATTCAAGGATGAATATATCTACAATTAAAAATTTTTTTCTAAATTCATATTTTTCATCTTAAGCAAGAATACCACCATGACATAAAGATTAACATTTTAATTATTCATTCAAATAATATCCATATAAAAAATCAATACAAGATACTTTATTGTATATCAAAAAATTAACAAAATAAAATTGACAAGAGGTAATCTGAGAAGTGATATAAATCGAATGGCCATAAATTCTGTCATATGATTCACAACTTTAATACCAAGAATGATAACAATCTGGTTCCACCTTTTACATTATGAAATTTTTATATAGAGTCCATAGGATCCCATACAAGCAATCCATCATTTAACATAGGTTAGCAATTATCATCATAAGGTTCAAATCCAAGAAATTGACAACTCAAGCATTTTTTCTGTTTATAATCACAAACAATTCTACAAAACAAATTTGCATTTATAACATCCATCAAAGTCAAAGAAGTTAGTATCATCACGCTCTTCAATTCCAACTCTTATCCCATCTCCTCAAACTTCCTTTCACGGCTAAGGTTTAGATGAAATATCTATTTATCATCCCAAAGTGGCACTATTAACATTATTATTTACAATTAAATATCCGTCAAATTAATGTCGTTTCCATATTGACATTTTTCATCACAAAGTTATCAATCCGTCTCTATCTGGACAAGGTAGAATAGTGTTTATGTCGTAAGTCTAATAGTTATTTGGACATAGAATTAAAAATTATAACATTAATCATCTATAATGTTATTACCATCATCACTTTACTCATATGCAACAACTTACAGATCCCCAAAAATGGAATAAATGATTATTTAGCTAAATATTCAATAGAATAAGTTAATATGACTGCATAAGATATATTGAGTATTCTTGTTTCTAGATTTGTTAGAAAAAAAAATAAATATCAAATGAAATATATTAAATGTAAGGCTTAAGATGATGAATCAAATTTATTGGCTTACATATGTGATGTTAATACTATTATGAAAGAAGAAAATAATAATGTTGTTGTAATGTTGGGTTTTCTATTTAGATTATTTGATCATTTATGCATTTAACTTGGAGTGTAAAAAATAGGATACATCTATGGCAGCTATAGGAATAAAAGCTTGTGAATAGAATATGAGTTCACATGTAATAAGAACATAAAAACTATGAGACTAGACAACACGTCATTTGATAAGATGTAATAAGTATAAAGTAGAAAATAAGGAAAAGAAAATCAAATAGAAATGAAAACTAGAATTCATGTTAGTAGATTAATTGTTGGAGTTACTTGGACATCATAAACCTTTATTTTTATTACCAGTTAATTAAACAAGTAGATACTGGTGCAATAACTTTAAGTGAAATAAGTTTTAAAATATGCAAGACGTGGAATTAAATATTTTTTCAAAATAATAAAAAGAAGCCAAAGGAGTATGAATAATAGGTACTTATCTAGTTTATAAGACAAAACCATCAGGATATTAGATAACTAAAACATCTTTACTTTGGCAGAATTGTACAAAGATTGTAACAAAGGAGTTAAAGATAATAAAGAAGTCAAAGATATATAATTCATGACTCCATTGACAAAAGTTCATGTTAACCAAGTAGTTAAGAATGTTTAGCCATAAAAGGGATAACACCAGAATCTATAATAATTTATTAATAAATAAGATTTTTCAATTAAAGCAATATCTGATTGTAGAATTAAATTTACTTAATTTATACTATTAGTATCTCCATCATCTAGATATTATTAAGTACAATAATTTATTAAAGAATAGAGTCAAAATCAAAATTACATTATTTAAGGAAGAATTAAACAATTGTTCTGTCTCTTATTTGAAAAAACAATATTAAAGGGAACTCCTATTTAATTAACTCAATTTAGAAATGAGGTACTATGAAGATGTGCTATCAAATACTTATTTATGATGATTGATGAAGATACATGTATTAATGAAATTTGATTATTATTTTTTTAGCTTGATACATTTTTGTATAAGTAATATATATGCAACCAGAATTAGAATACTTAGAGTTATTATTCAATAGAATTGATACTTATAGAGATATATTTATGGAAGAGGAGTAGAAAAAGACTTTTAAATACTCAAAGATCTTAGCTATAGAATAAATCAAATGATAAAACAATACGTTTATTTATAGAAAATATTTAAGACTTAAAATCTATCAATTATGGTACTATTTAATAAGAACTAAAATAAATTAAAGTTAATGATTATAATAATGATTGTTACATTTGGTACATCTCATTGCGATCTATTAATGAGTTCTATTAAATTAATACTAGATGGCCAATTTAAAATAAGAGTATAGTTTAATCAAAATCATTTATATATCTGCACTTTATAATTATAAAACATAGTTGAAAAACAATGTAAATTAGTCAATGTGGATAGTATTCCTGAATCTCATATTAAAAAGATATGTAGATAAGAGGGGGAAAAGTGATTGCTTCAGCTTTAGTTGTAATTAATCATCAATCAATTTGTTCCCATCAATAAAAAATTAATTTATAATGAGCTTAAAAGTGAGGCATCTATATTTGAATTCGGATTGTTATTAAAAAAAAAATATATATTAAATCATTAATATAACATGATTTATAATATAATTATAACTGTAAATTAATAATAATAAAAAGATATCTAATATAATTAATATTATATGAGACTGATTAAGAATATACACATTTTTATAAATAAGAGTATTTATTGATAATTTAATATCAGTTAAATAATTAAATATTTTTTTCTGACTGATATTATAGTATCTATTAAAATATTGAAAAGTTATTAATAAACAGAAATCTAGTCTATAAGCAAATCTATTTTAGTCCATTTTTTTTGGTATATTTCTTTATCTCTCAGTTTATGGTTCATTATATTTTAAATTAGCCAAACTTCATTATTTTGATAATTAAGTTTTAGATTCCTGATTAAATTCAGATTAATATTTGCCAATATAATATTATTTTTAATTTGTTTGTGTATAGAACATGTATCCTAGACGAAATAAATCTACTTGATAATCATATGCTTTTTTCTTATTCCAAATTTTGAGTACTTGGGGTGCTGAATAATCAAAAGTGCCCAAGATAAGTATTATTCAAGCTATTTACTATTGAAACAAGTAAAAAAAAGTGTCTTCTATCGATTAAACATTCTAAGAGAATATTTGAATTGTTTTCTAAAGAGGTCTATACTGAACCTGTAGGAATTTACATTTATTACATTGAAAATTAGAATTTTCAATCGATATTTAATCTTAACATATTTATTAAAATATCATTTTATTTTATCATCTTATTCAAATACCAAATTAATTTGTCGTGATTTAATGATCATATATCAATTAAGTCTTAATAATCAGTTTTAAAGTTATATATATTTATGATGTTCTTCGACAAGGTTTTGCGATATTTTAAATTTTATTTTTTATAATATAATAGTTAAATTTAATAGTTTATTATCATGTAATTTCTTTAACAATAATAATCAAACACAAACCAGGATTACAACATTTAATAATGCCTTTAATAATTTTTGATCCATTCATCTAAATCTGAAGAGAAAATGGTAATAAAAATATTAGAGGAGGAGTAGAATAGTAGAACTTTCAAATTTAGAATGAATGTCTAGAGAAAAATACTCATCTTGAAATTGATAAGATGCCAATTTATGGTTATTTTCTTTGAAATATTTTTTTAAATATAGTTATCTTAGGATAAATATACCTAGTTTAATCTATATTAAGGTTAATCAAAGATCGCTCCAAGAATTATAGTTGAATATAATAGAATGTTTATCGATGATTCTGTTTTTGATTATTTATCCCAATAAAGTTATGATAAAGAATACATCATTAAGCGCTTAGATGCCAACAACCATAATACTGTTACAACTGCTTATTATTTGGTATTAAAACGTAATTTAATTGCTGGAATCTAATCAAAAGCTGACATTAAAAGTAGTTTTTTCAAAGAATCCTTATTGTTCTAATTAAATTAATGAATTAAATAACCATCCTATGGCTCATGTAAATGTATATTAAACATTTGAGTGATGGTATTTTTCTATAATAATTACTTTGAAATGAGAATACTTGTATTTAATAATAAAACATTAAAATTAGATTAGTTGTATATGAGACAGAGTTTATAACATATTCTAAACTTATCAATAAATAAATAAAATAATTAAAATATAGAAGATAAAACAAATTAACAGTTAATTTTAATATTATAAATAGTAAAATTAAGTAAAGATATTGATGAAAGTTTAGACTGTAGGTGATTAATTATAATTCAAAATTTAAATAATCAAAGAAAAAATTTAGAATAAGAAATAATTCATTTCAAAGA